TTAGATCAGAAAGGCTTGAATTTTTAATTTAATTTATTCCTTGCTGTTGCCAGTGACTTTGAAAGGAAACACATTAGTTTCGGGGAGGTCCTTGGCCCCCTGGGGGATGGGGATGGGTGACCCCTAGTCTGGTTGCTCCATTTGTTGGGTCCTGGCTGGAGACCACTGCAGACCCCCCAGATGCCCCAGGACAGGCCCGCATGAGGCAGGAGGGTAAAGGTGAGACCCCTGGATTCTGGCCCAGGACTCTGAACCCACCTCAAATTCTCATCCCCTCAGCCCCACTCTCCGCATGCCTGGTGATTGTCTCCCAGAGTGGAAACCCACGCTGTTTCACCAGAGGCCCCTGGAGTTCCAGCCATTCCGAATTACAGCTCCCCACTGTGCTCCACAGCCTCTCTCCATCACCCCTGAGCCCAAGAAGACCTTACATTTCTGTAAATAGGGCCAGGAAGTATATACTGTGGTTTATTTTTACTGTATTCCTGAGGAAGAACTGGACAGTTTCTTCTTTTCTCACATCTTCAGGGGCATCTTTTATTTTGGTGGAGGCTGGGTGGACTTTTTAGAGTAGAAGCCACACTTTGCAATAAGCTTGTTCATCTGTCAGAGCCCTCTTACTCTACTCCGTGACTAAGAATGTTTATAAGAAAAAAGAAAACAGGACACTACAAGATGGGGGTGGGCCTGCCAAAAAGAAACCCCCCTCCCAAAGACACTTTAATGAAGTAAACAGCACATTCATACAGATTTCATATTTCTACCCACCTTTCCTGGTCTGGGTTTTATAGATATTATATATAAATACATATGGTGCACAGCTGCTTGGAGACCACCAGGAATTCCAGCTGGCAGGGGGTGGGGTGGGGGGTTGGGTGGGACTTTTGTAGGGGTTGGCGTGGGTGGTGGTGTTGCCACGCCTGGAGCTGGTGACAGGGCCTCCCCCCCTCCCGTCACAATCAACTTTGGATTCTGTATTTTTTAATAATAAAATAAGCAAAAACCTCAAAACCAAAAAAATTTTTTAATGCATTTATTATCGTTGATAGTATTACAGATGTCTCCCATTTTCCTCTGTGCATATATTCTTTTTTTTTGTAAATATATTTTATTGATTTTTCACAGAGAGGAAGAGAGAGAGATAGAGAGTTAGAAACATCGATGATATTGAAATATCGATCAGCTGCCTCCTGCACACTCCCCACTGGAGATGTGCCCGCAACCACGGTACATGCCCTTGACCGGAATCGAACCTGGGACCCTTCAGTCCTCAGGCCGATGCCCCATCCACTGCGCCAAACCGGTTACGGCTGTGCATATATTCTTAGGGGGATCTCTCCCAGTCTTCCCGCACCCCTCTCCCAGGAGATCTTCCAGTCTCTTCCTGTTAACCAGGTCTCTGGTCCCACCTTGTCCTTCCCAGGGCCACTTGCTGAACCACATCACCTTTATTCACCAATGTCATTGGCTGGGATGCTAGCCCGCCCCTTGAACTTGGAGAAAACTACATTACCCAGGAAGGAATGCGTGCACATGGGCAGAGCTACGAGGCACATTTCGTGTGAGAAAACTACATTACCCAGATAGTAATGCGTACACGTGGGCGGAGCTAAAAGGCACTTTGGTGTCAGTGCATCCGGTTAGGGCGGGACTTCCGCCTTCCTCCTCCTGGCGGGCATTTTGACCTCTTTAGTTCCTTCAAGGACTCAGAGTCTTCAGCCTACTGGTCGGAAGAGAAGGCCTAGGAGGCAGCGTCCTTGCTGTGCAGGGTGTGTCTGAGATTTGTTGAGCATCAACAGGCGGGGATTGGGGCCTCCGTGCCTCCCAGACTCCTCTGCTTACAGCCTTCCCGCAGCCTCACCCCACTTAACCCTCCATCCTCGGGGACTGGAGCCTCTCAGTTACTGCAGCCCAGGAAGCCGCATCCAGAACAGTGAGTCGATCGTGGATGACACAGGGTGTGATGGGGAAGGGCCACAGGCTGCAATGCCACCTTCTAAGGACACGGGGGTGGGGCTGAGCCTGGAGGCGTAGGAGACCCCTTGCCTGTTTGGGGTCTAAAGGCAACAGAGAAGATGAGGTGTGGTTTTGCACGAGGAGTTTTAATTTCATTCTCAGAACGCTGGGGCCATAGATGGTTGTGAAAATAGAGGGACATTTTCTGAGGCCGGATTCTAACTTTTCCTAACATTGCTCAGAGGAAGAACAGACTAGAGGACAGAGGACAGCACTGTGGACAGGGAGGGGAAGTCCTGTAAATGATAAGGTAACTGGCAAGAGTGAGCACTGAGCCCTGAGATAATTCCGGCATCTGGAGGGTACCTGGCCTCTGGCCTGGTTTTTGCCAGGCTCTCACAGACCATTTTCTTTCCACAAATTGCTGCAAATGCAGAATCGATTAGGTGTACGGGTTTGTGGAACTTGTTTCAGGGTCTCACACACTTGTGGCCTCTGATAGAGTGGAGTCCTTGGCCTAGCCAAGCTGCTCTTGTAGCCCTGGGACCTGGATACTTTGAACAGACACTAAGCCCAGAATCCTAAGTCCACCACGAGGGCTTTATGAAGTGGACCTTGTTTCTGGCAACCAGTATAATGAGGGGGCGGTCCTCCAGGGCATAGGTTCCAGAATATGCTAAGACTGGGAGTGAAGAGTAAGCTGATTCAGGAACTGACAGGTATGGTTCATATATATATTAGATGTATAAAGGAAGGGAGAGGTAGAGAGACAGAGAAACAGTGATGAGCAAGAAAGAAGGATCAGTTGCTGCCTGCACAACCCCTACTGTGGCTCTAGCCCACAACCCAGGCATGTGACCTCACCAGTGCATGTGACTATGCTCAACCATCTCAGACATCAGCCAGGACTGTAGATCACTTTAATACAGGGAAGGGAATCATGGTCAGGTTGGTAATGGTAGTAGTAGCTCAGAAGGGACAGTGTGAGCCTGAGTGCTAGCTTTCCTGCTGGATCCACTGTTTGTGGGAGGTGGGTGTCACAACATAGCATAGTGACAGGGGTGTCATGTAGAGTGTCAGGGAGAGAGAATGGTTTTGCAGTGGGCAAGGCCTTTAAAAGATGAGAGGACCTGAAATTAATTGGAGGCCAAAGAGTAATTCAAACAAGATGAGATTGGGTTGGTACATATTTATTTCTCTAAACCCTCTCCAGGATATTGTTGTGTCCCTCAATGTGGCCTGGCTGGTGGAATAACAGTCAGTCTTGTGCATTAGCTTAGTGGCTTGAATGGTCATCTGTGAGACTCACTAAACATGTATAGAGGGCTAGCGCAGCTGGGACTGAATAACAATTAAGTGGAGAGATGTTGTCTGTGACTGGTGAAGGGACATCAAGTGCAGCACCACGGGAGGTGGGCTCCGGGTATCTGAAATCTGATTGTTGTTCTTCATAGTTTAGATTGCAGGAAAAAACAGTCATGGAGAGAAGCCTTCATAGCAGGACTCAAGGCTGCCTCTATGAGTGTGGACTATCAGAGTCTAGGCAGTCCTTGATCCTGTTTGAATTTAGGAAGCATTCTCTGGACCGCACATGCCGAGTAATAAGTAAGAGGGTGAGCAGATGACTATGGAGGCCAGGGCTGTAGGAGTGCAGGTGTGAGAGAGGTGTGGGAGACAGAGTGATGTGCACTTGGAGAGGGAATGTGACTTCATAGCCAGAGCACCCTGACATTGACATAAGAGTGAATGAAGGGAGAGTCCATTTCTGGTGGAGTCTGGATGATAAAACAAGGGTAATTTTAGGGTAATTGCCTGAAAAGAGGGGTGTTTGGGGCTATCTGCAAGATGACATTTATGTACCTACCTGCTTTTTGTTGTGGGGGGTGACATACTGATGGTTACAAATAAGATAGTATTCATCAGTGTTCCCTGGGCTTGAAAATCTCCACGAGCCTGGGTAAGGGAGCAGGGTCAAAGAGAAATGGATGATGGAGGTGGTAATCTGTAATTTTGGAAAATAAGGTAATTAGGAAACAACCCGTCTTCGCCACGGCAAATTTGTGTTACCTTTGTAGTTGTGCCTCTGGGAACGAAGCTGTGTGAGAGAAGTGTTTTTCAAAGAACTGTGTGCAGCAGGTAGTACAAAACAATGGCCTCAGCACTAACACTGACAGACGAGTGAATGAAAAGGGAGTCCATTTCTGATGGTGTCTTCATGATATGACATGGGAAATTTTAGGATAATTTCTAACAAGATGGGCTGATGTGGTGCTACATGCCAGGTCCAGAGCTTAGGTGACATATATGTGCCCACTTGTCATTTCTAGTTGAGGGCTGACCCAGTGAACAATAGGAATGGGATAGCATACATCAGTGTCACCTGCACTTGAAAATCTCCACCAGCATGGGGAAGGGAGAACAGAGAAGGTTGAGAGAGAAATACATTACAGAGGTGGTGAACGAGAATTTTAGAAAAGAAGCTGGTTAGAAAACAACCTGTCCTTGTGATGGCTTATTCATGTCACTAGTGAAGATGTGCCTCTGGGAATGAAGCTGTGAGACAAGTGTGGATCCAAGAACTATGGGCAGCAGGTAATGCAAAGTGATGGCCTCAGCAAACTGGGATTGGAGTCGGAAGTGTAATGGGCATTACCATTTTGGTGTCTTAGAGGGACAATAGGAGGACAACATGGGTATTGCCTGACAAGACCAGTGTCAAGTCACTCACACTCCGTTGATGTGCAACATCTCTTCCTACCCTACGTTACTGACACCCACTGTTATTGAAAAGGGGCAGTGTGACTCACATTTGAGGATCAGAGCACAGGTATGTTCTAACTGCTCATCTGCCTTTATTGTTGTGGGAGATACAGCATCAATAGGAATATAAGGAGAGATTGACTTTGATGGGACCAAGGCCTGCTATCTTCTCTGATGTGGGGAGTAGAGGAAGCAGATGGATGTGCAGGGTGGGAAGTGTGATAAACTTGGCAGCTCAAGAGAGAATCTTATCATGGGATGTACTGTCTCCATTATGACAGGTAATGAACTTTGAGGACGTGGCCATTGCCTTCTCTCAGGAGGAGTGGGAGATCCTTGATGATGCTCAGAGATGTCTGTACTGTGATGTGATGCTGGAAGTGTTTACACTTGTATCATTCGTAGGTAAGACCTTCAACTCTCCTAGTGTTCTGAAGTGATGCCCACTCTTTATTTATTCTCCAGATATAGCACTCTCTCTCTCAAAGCAAGACCATGGGCTCTGCTCATTTCCCCCACTGTCTTGTCGAATGGGCTGTGGCTGCCAGTGCTGAGCTCTGCAGAGAGCCCTGAGCAATAGACTCCATAAACCTCCCTAACACCAGTTGCCTCAGAAACTGCAGGAAATGTCAGGGTGTCAACAGTCTTACAGACAGCTTAATGGGTCCCTCCTGCTCTTCCTCTCCCAGGGAGGGTGACTATATCCAGATCCATGGCTTCCACTTCTGCACCTTTCCTGTAGATAAGGACCTTGGTGAATGCCTGTGCCAGGTATCTTCTTTACTTACATGAACCAGGAGCTGTTCTTGTAAGACCCTCCTTCCATTGTTGTTTGTAATATTACCTTCTGTGAATATTATTGCAAACCGAATGATATGGGCAAGTGATGGCCACTCAACTCTGTTGTCTTTCATTGATTCTCAGAATATTTAGTTTGTAGATATTTCTAGAGAAGGAGGTGCAGGGAGAACCGTGGGTTTCTCCAGGGTGAATGTACAGGATGATCTCAGAGGATGAGTGTCAACTGGGGGGAGGTATGACATGAGGATGGTGTTCAGATTGTACCAGGAACCTGCTCCTGTCCAATGGTGTTTGGTGCCGGTTCTAATGGCCACCCCTCATTTATACATTTCCCTTTCCATACTTGACCCTTTGCTGGCTTCTCATTCCATTAATGACTTCTTAGCTTTGGCTATCTTCTCCTTTGTGTCCTTTTTACATCACGTATTCCTCTGCACATCTCTTTCTGCAGTATACTACAACATGGACCTGTGCAAGTGTTATAAGGAGCACATATACTGAGTGGCCAGATTATTATGACCACCCCATCAGTACTTCATTGACGCTTCCAAAATACTGAATATTGAAAACTTCCTAAGCAGATACTCTCAAAGTTTTATTATTATTATTATTTGCATAACTAATTCATTTCATTGTACTGATGGGGTGGTCATGATAATCTGGCCGGTCATAATAATCTGGCCACTCAGTGTACATGCTTAAATACCCCGAAAATACCAGCTGCTTGTTTATTGAGTTTTACTTGGAATGAGATGTAACCAACCTTCTGCACAGCTTACCCATGTCACCACCAGAGGAGATGTACTGAATGCTGCTGGCAGCAGGATGAGCTGGACAGTCCGCTTCTCTTCCATGTGGTGCTTGCCATGTTTTTGCTCTATTTCTCTTGAAGTCTCCTTTGTTTTGTGATCTTCAGTGGTCAAGTACTTCACAGTGGCCTCTCATTTTTTTTTAAAATATATATTTTATTGATTTTTTACAGAAAGAAAGGGAGAGGGATAGAGAGTTAGAAACATTTATGTGAGAGAAACATCAATCAGCTGCTTCCTGCACACCTCCAACTGGGAGTGTGACCAACCCAGGTACATGCCCTTGACTAGAATCGAACCTGGGAACTTTCAGTCCGCAGGCCAACGCTCTATACCCTGACACAGGGGCCTCTTATTAATCCATCTTTCAGGTCTTTTATTTTCAGCCAGTTGCATGAAACCAATGTAGTATGAGCAACCCACGTTTATAATGGGACTTCCTCCTATCACCAAAGTCAACATTCATTTCTCATCATTTCTCTGTTTTCAGGTCCTTGGCATAAAATAGATGATGTGGAGGCCTATTCTGAGCACAGTGTATCTGTAGGAGATTCTCACGTCAGGGCTTCCAAAACAGCTGCAGCCACCCAGAGGACCCATCTGTGTAAGCTGTGCTTCTCAGTGTTAAAAGATATTTTGCACCTGAGTGAGTTACAAGTGGTTCACTTTGAGAAGAATGTGTTCTTAAGTGATGCGTGTGTGAGAGACTTGTGTTTCAGTGCAAACCCTCACCAGCAACAGAAGGATGCCAGTGGAGAGAAGCCCTGGAAAGAAGATATGGAGAGTGCCTTGCTTGTGAGGAGTTGCAGCTTCTACTTATCTGGGGTGCCTGCAGCAAGTATACAGGCTGGGGAAGACTCCCCAGCCATCTCAGGACTTCTCCAGCACCAGGCCACTCTTAACACTGAGGAGCCACACAGTAACAATGAGATTTCACAGGAATTTCTCAGTGGAAAAAGGCATCACCAGTGGGTAGAATGTGAAACAGCCGTCAGCCAGAAACAGAAAGTTGCTTATCAGAAAGGTCTCTGCTCTGGAGATATGATTGATGAGTATAATAAATGTGGGGAAGTGTGTAGACGAATATTTAACCACCCTCAACATGCGAGAGTTTACACTAAAGAAAAGCCCTATGAGTGTACTGATTGTGGGAAGGTCTTCAATGAAAGTACTGCTCTCATTAAACACAACAGAGTTCACATTAGAGAAAAGCAGTGTGAGTGTAGTGACTGTGGGAAGTCCTTCAGGAAAAGGTCTCACCTCACTATGCACCACAGAGTTCACACTGGAGAAAAGCCATATGAGTGTAGTGAATGTGGGAAGTCCTTTAGTCAAAGGTCTTCCCTCACTCTACACTACAGAGTTCACACTGGAGAAAAGCCATATGAGTGTAGGGAATGTGGGAAGCATTTCAGTCGAAGAGCTAACCTCACTCTACACCACAGAGTTCACACTGGAGAAAAGCCATATGAGTGTAGGGAATGTGGGAAGCATTTCAGAGAAAGGAGTGCACTCACTAAACACCACAGAGTTCACACTGGAGAAAAGCCATATGTGTGTAGTGAATGTGGGAAGCATTTCAATGAAAGGGCTTCCCTCACTGAACACCACAGAGTTCACACTGGAGAAAAGCCATATGAGTGTAGTGAATGTGGCAAGTCCTTTAGTCAAAGGTCTCACCTCACTAGACACCACAGAGTTCACACTGGAGAAAAGCCATATGAGTGTAGTGAATGTGGGAAGCATTTCAGTGAAAGGGATTCCCTCACCAAACACCACAGAGTTCACACTGGAGAAAAGCCATATGAGTGTAGTGAATGTGGCAAGTCCTTTAGTCAAAGGTCTCACCTCACTACACACCACAGAGTTCACACTGGAGAAAAGCCTTAAATGTGCAGGGAATGTTTTATTTTTCTCACTTATAAGAACACTTACGGGGCTCTATAGGACCATTTCCATGAATGTAAACCCCTTTTATGGGAACATACACTCTGCTAGATTCCTCATAAATTTGAGGTACAAGTGAAACTTGCAGGAACTGTATTGTACTTGCTAACATGCCTAGACCTACGACCCAAATGATGTCACTGTGAGTGTTTATCGCTGAAGAGATTTCACCTCTAACACCTGGCTCACCTGAGGGGTGTACATCGGTCACAGTCCCTGGGTGCTCAGGGGAATGTATTCTGTGTTCTCACTTCTGCTTGAGGGAATTATGATTCCTCCAAGCTCTTGGCAGTATCTTCATTCATTTGCCTCTGACTAGAACATGGCCCTGACCCAGGGTTCCTTCAGAGCACCCCTTCTCAGCTAGGAAGTGCTACCTCTTTCAGGGACATAGTGGTACTCACATTATGCTTTGATACATTTTGGGGGTTTCTTATTCACTAACCTGCAATGTCCGTGCTCTCCTCTGCTCTGGTTTATGATCTTCTTTTAAAGGTGTTTTTATATTTGTGTTGTTATTCACTAGTGTATTATTTTCAATACCAACATCTCTAAACCTACTTTTGCCACACTCTGTATTTACCTCCAGTCATTTTGTAATATTTCTGCTTCCCCAACCCTCCATGCAGACATTGATTTACCTTCCTTTACAATAGAGTAGTTCATATTTTTCATAATGTTATTGGCACTATAAGGTGAATTCTCTTTAACAAACACTGGCTTCCTTCATGCTACACAGATAGTTTGAGATTCAACACAAACATTTATATAAATAGTGAATTTTTTATTTCTAGAAAATATTGTATTCTATGGATAACCACTTTAACTGTTGAGCTGCCTATGATTTCAGTTATTTCTACTTTTGTTGTTTTGTAAATAAAACAGTTTGGAATATTGTATTCCATTCTTTCTACAGGTGTATGTCGTACTTATCAAACTGTTCCAGTGTCAGTGAATGTGGTACATTTCAACATATGGAACTGTGACCTAAAATGGTCAATCACTTATGAGTGTACTGTTAACTCACTTTTGTTTTAATTTCATTTCCGTAAAAATGTTTGATGGTGATCATTTCTTCATGCATTTCTTTCGCTGTCTTTATCTTCTTTGTTAAAATGTCTGCTCAGGAATTTTTGTTTACTTTTAAAGTTAATTTATTATTCTATTCTAACCAATAGAAGGGCAGTGCAGCCTCTACGACATATCTTTGAGTTTCACTCATTCTTCAGTGACTCGACTGACTTCTTCGCTGTATGGAATTCTTGGTTTTTGAATTCTATAAACAAAATAGTTTTTCTCAATTTTTACCCTATGTACGATTTGTAGCCCACTCGTACCATACACTTATAAATTTAATCTGCATTGTTAACTTTCTCCGCCAGTGTGCTTTAAGTCTAAGCATTTCATGATGCATTAAATGAAGTCTAGGTTCATAGTAGTTGAAAGTTTCCCTGGTGTAGATACTCATCATCACCACGTTCAAACTGCCAAAATGATGGCATTGAACATGGACATAAGATATTTCAGTAGTACATCATTATATTTTACTAGAGACTGGGTGCATGGACTGTGCACATTGAAAGGAAATTAATTAGAAAGTGACCAGTGGGGTGGGACTGGCTGAAAGGGGTCCCCCACACCCTAGTGCCAACCTCCCCCAATTCCTCTCCCAGTAGGCCGCACCTGGGGCAGCGCCTTGGCTCCAAGGGTGTCTGTGGAGTGAGTGGGCTCCCTCTGGCAGGTGAGGTCCCTCAGCCTGGCCTTCAGGGAATCGGGCCGAAACCAGTTCTCCGATATCTGCGGAGGGGTCCTGGATTATGAGAAGGCAGTTCTCAGGTGATGCAACTCAGAATCAGGCTCCCTCCTCTCTGGCTCCAGGATGGTCATCCGAGAATCACCGTTGCCTTCCATCACTATCTCTGCGCACACTGATGCTGAGGTCACTCCCAGACCTGCCGAGGCACAAGTGAGGTCTGAACTTTATAGGCCCCACAGCCTTACAGTGTGGGCTCTCACCTCTGCCACTCAGTGGTGGGAAGACAGACTGGGGAGCTTGTCCAGTAGGGGCAGCACATCCATCCCCAGCCTCATGTGAACTCGGGGGAGAAAGGAACTGCATGTGAACAGGCACAAGGGTCAAGTGCAAGAGGCCAGGGCAGTAGAGCCCCAGCCTGCAGACCCACCACACCCTGCACTTTAGTGCAAAGTGCAAGCTCTTTTTGGCAATAGTAACAATTGTAGATTTGACTTTGAAGAAAAAATAACTCACAATACATTAGAAATTTCAATTTTGGTTTGTCACATCTTCAACAGATGTTAACTGAACCCATTGTGGTAATCATTTCACAATGTAGGTCAATCAAACCGTCGTTCTGTCTGCCTTAAACTTATACAGTGGTGTATATTGATTATTTCTCAATAAAGCTGGGAAAAATAAACAGTGCCTTAATAAATGGGGAAAAAGTGGTTATAGATGCAGTGGAATGAATACACCATAACTAAGAGAAAACAAGTCAGAATACACACATAACAAATAGTATCATCTTGTCTTGGAGGCATGCTCAGTGGTTGAGCATTGATCTATGAACCAGGAGGTCATGCATGGAGTCCCTGTCAGGGTACATGCCCTGGTTGTGGGCTCCATCCCCAGTAGGGGGCATGTAGGATGCAGCTGATGAATGATTCTGATCATTCATGTTACTACCTCTCTCACCCTCTCCTTTCCTCTCTGAAGCCAATACAACATATATTAATATAATCAATTAATAGTATCACCTCAAAAAGGTATCTGAATATATGGATGTACGAAAGACAAAAGGAAATCCTTTGAATTGTTGCCAGTGGTTAACCTTGGATAGTGGAAAGAAGTGATTTCTTTTACTTTATACTATTCTTTTTAAATTTCTACTAATAATCCTATATATTTTGATAATGAGAAAAAATCTTCTAAAAAACATTTCAGTAACTTTTTTTGGGTGTAAAATGCATTTTGCATCCATGTTCAGTGACCATCCACTTAACTTTGAGAAACTTCAAATGTGCTTTGGGTTGTGAAATACCTTTAAAATGCATTCTTGGTCTATGGTTCTCCAGGGCGCAGGCCAGGCCGTCTGGATCCGCACTCCCTGCCTCTCAGCCGGCCGGATGGGCTCCCCTCAGACCCTCAGTCCCCCAGCCTCAAGGCGGGGGGGCAAGGCGGCGGGGGGTTTCTTTCGGGGGTGGAGCGGAACGTGTCGGGCGCCGCGGGGCTCCCCGGGGGGAGAGCCCCGAAATCTCCTCCCCGGGGGTTCCCCCGAAGGGGG